CATAAATAATTAGATAGAGGGATATAAATAACTAGTAGTTTTATCATAAATAAATAGATAGAGGGATATAAATAACAAGTAGTTTTATCATAAATAAATAGATAGAGGGATATAAATAAGTAGTTTTATCATAAATAATTAGATAGAGGGATATAAATAACAAGTAGTTTTAACATAAATAATTAGATATTGGGATATAAATAACAAGCAGTTTTAACATAAATAATTAAATAGAAATAACAAGTAGAGTTTTCTTCTAAGAATATTTTAAAAACAACTTCTCTGGTTTTTACACAGAAAGAAATATTAACATAGTACCAATTTATTATAGGATTACAAACTTCTTTTAACTAAACTACTGTTTCTGTACCTGAAACTGTGAAATGGACAAGTTAGAAGCTCAAAGAGGGCCATGCTCATCTTCTACCAGTCCTTCCAGCTACAAAATACAAGGTCACAAGTACCACCCTTTGTCACAAAAACTACCATTAACATAAGGTCCTTTTACTGTTTATAGGCAGTTTCATTCAGAAAGAAGTGTGAATGAAATGAACATACAGTGACCCAAGAAGACGGATCCTTGGATGCTGCACTTTACAAACCAATGAGGAAAAGATGCCATCATTCATGGCAATAGTCTACAATTTCGTGCATTGTTAGGCCTATTAGGACAAGACATAACACTGCAATGTGCTTAAAATAATTTCTATTGAAAAAAATGTGCACAAACTGCTTAATTTGAGAGCATAAAATTTAGTTATGTGAATGTATTACACAGAAAATGACATATCTCTGTAAAATTTGTTTTTTATATCATATTAAACAAACATATACACAACAGCATTAACCAATGAAAACAATTTTTTTTGCCTAGTTTGGATTTTACCTTGAAACTGTTTCTTACTTCTTTAAATTTTCAAACTGGTATTATTTACCAAAATACTGAATAACTTGATCTAAATGCATCAAAAGCAAACATACATAATTTTTCCTAAAATAAAGAAATCAGAACATATGTTTAAAAATAAACACATTTTGGATGTTACAACAAAATACATGAAATGGTTAAATATATTAAGTTAAATGCCCACATTTCCCAGCTTCTGATACACGATATCACTGATACTTGAAACTGCAAGCTAACACATTTCCCATAATGCCTCATATGAACAACACTTTCGAAACCTTTGCACCTATCTCTAACAGTTTCTTCTATAAACTTTATAATATACACTGATTAAAAGGTGTCCATCTCAGGTAATTAATTTCAGTTTTTTTATATTCCATCTAATTATATAACTAAAGAAAACTGTTGCTGTTTGAGTCCAAATAAGTTTTAAAACACATCTAGTTTAATTAACGTAATGTTTCTTTCATAGTTTTTCTTGGTGGACTAAACACAGTATATGGTAGTCCTTATTACTGATTACTTGTTTTCTAACATAAGATCTATACCAGCAGTTGGAAACATTGCAACTTCTAACTCAAAAATGTCCAAGTTGTAGTAAGTTATTACAAATCTTAATAAAATTATCATAATATATGTACCAGCACAAATCGGTTTAAAGTTTTATAAAACATTATAATTGTTGGTAATGATAGAATAAAACAATTAATAAAGAAAATATTTTACAATAAAAACAAATAATAAAGAAAATATTTTACAATAAAAACAAATGTATAAAAATACTACTTATTAATGAAGTTCATACTACTACTAATAATAATAATACATTATAATAAGGCTGGGTATTTGAAACGTTTGTTCATCGTAACCATTATTCCAGACTATTCTAATTCCAACAGAATTTTTTTTTATTCCCTTAAAAAACTTTTTCTTCTAAACTGGAGATTGTGTAAAAGTTAAACATAATTTTTGTGAATTTAATATTATCATGTTTAAAACATTTTATTTAAATATTGGATTAGTAATTAATAAATTTCTGGACTTTGTACATTATAAGTGTGAAACTGTTATACGTATTTAATATATTCCTTAAAGGTTTATAATTGTGCTTTAATTTTTAAACTTGCTGAAATTCAATGTTTTATACAGAGAAATATAGTTAAACAGTGTAAAATATTGGAAGATTTCTTTGTTGCATACAGCTACTTGAGTGATAGTCTAGAGAGAAGGCAGTTAATCAATACCACCCACTGCTCAATACTTTTTATCAATGAATAGTGGGATTGACCATCACATTATAATGCCACTATGGCTGAAAGGGTGAGCATGTCTGGTGACGGGTTTTAATCCTACAGATCACACCTTAACCACATGGCACTAAGTTGGAAAAAACAAGTGAATGAAGGGTACAGAGGTTCACATATTTTAACCATACTTAAAACAAAAGAACCAATTTGATCTTTCTGACTACATGGCAGAGTTATAACATATCAGAATTAGAAGAAACAGTTTAAAAGACTTCACGTCATTAGGTCAAATTTGTGAAATGAATGTAGGTTTTGAAATATTAATTACAAAAACTGTAATGTGAAATATAAAATCTAAAGTGTTATTCAGTATTGCTGTGACTTTTCTTTGCAACATGCTGACAATGTCATAATATGGTATGTTGTAGTATACTTCAAAAACAAAGCAATATCTTAATTAAAATGTATCCATTTCCTCATACCAGTAATATTCTAGTGTTCTATAAAATTGTTCATTTGTTTACAGCTATTAATTCAGTTTAAAACTGTTTCTTTATTACTCATACGAAGTATACATGTTGTTGTATTATTCATAAGATATTAGCACCTGTTCTAAAGCCTTATCTTTTTCAATAAAAATCACATAAAAAGTGGTTTAATTTCCCACCATTTTTATTTATCAGGTGTTAAAGACATCAAATGGACATAACAGTTGTAAAATTAAACTTCTTTTATTTGCTGCTAATATGGCCATTAATAATGAAATGTTACACTGAACCACATAGGTTTATTTTGGATATTCACACAAGGGCTATTTGAGCTAGCTGTCCCTACTTTTGAACTGAGGGACTAGATTAGTGGTTTCCAAACAATGTGTCATGGCAAGTTGCTAGGAGTGTCGCAAGAATTTTCCCAAATGAAGAATAATTAAGAACATAAACTACAAAAAAAATATTGTATATGGCAGCAGGGTTGTCACGAACTACAGACCTGATGATGTCAGAAAAAACACATAGGTTAAAGAAGTCTAGATACAAAATGATAAAAATCCTATAACCCAAGCGATTTCAAGTGTTCTGGTTATAGGGTTTTTATCATTTTGTATGAACTTCAGACCTTTAGATTAACAGTCCAGCCCAATCTACAAGAGTCAACATGACATCATTTGAGAGAATTTTATATCATTACATAACAACCAATCACAGATTGAGCTCTGTCGTACCAATCAGATGAAAGCTTGAAAGAATATTATATCATTACATAACAACCAATCACAGATTGAGCTCTTCTGTCATACCAATCAGATGAGAGCTTGAGAGAATTTTATATCATTACATAACAACCAATCACAGATTGAGCTCTGT